TTACGCCAATGTATTATAAGTTGATTAAATGTGCTTCTTAAAATAAATTTTGTAAACGTGAGAAAAGAAATAAAAGCTTAAACATAATTTTCAGTATTTCTGTCATAAATATCAACAAGAGGCCCATGGGCCACATCGCAAACCTTAGTCTTTTTGACCATGCTGTTCTTTACCTGATTTCCCCTTGCAATACCTACATGTATTGTGATTCCTACCTACCCCACGGATCATAATTTGGACAATTTAAAATCTACGCTAAGCCAGGATGCTTTCGCACAAGTTTTAGCTTTTCTGGTTCAGTAGTTCTATAGAAGAAGAATTTTCCTATACATTTCAATGTAAAACTTGGGTTCCCTAATTTGGATCCGCTTTACCCCGGGGGTCATGATTTGGAGAATTTAAAATCTACACTACGCCAGGATGCTTTCACATAAGTTTCATCTTTTCTGGCCAAGTGGTTCTTGAGAAGATGATTTTAAAAGGTTTTTCCTAGATATTTATGTGTAAAATTTGAATTTCTTATTGTGGCCCTGCCCTACCCCCGAGGGGTCATGATTTGAACAATTTAGAATCTACACTAAGTTTCCTCTTTTTTGGCCCAGTGGATCTTGAGAAGAAGATTTTTTAATGACCCCACCCTAGTTTTGTACTTTCCTGATTATCTTCTCTTGTGAGAAGACTTGGCCCTTCGTTTTAAAAATTTAAACTTCCCTTTACCCAAGGATGCTTTGTACCAGGTTTGGTTAAAATTGGCCCAGTGGTTCTTGAGAAGCCGAAAATGTAAAAAGTTTACGGTCGGACAGACGGACATACGACGGACAAAATTTGATTAGAACCTAAAAAAGATTTAAAAGGAACCTTTTTTATTCAAATTACCCTTAACTGTCGATATCTGACTTCTTTTAGATATTTGTGGTAACCCATAATGCACTGCGACACATTCAACAGGCAGTAAAGTAAACATATAGCTACAATTGCAAGTTTATGCTGACGTCAGAAAATGTGTTCAGAACAATTGTTTATATGGTATGCTAATGTGGGCGCGCCCAAATTCACTTATTTAAGAGATGAATTTACGATTTTGCACCTAACAATCGAATCGAACAATGCAAGAAAAAAATCTGCAACATACCGAATGAATCGTTAATCTTGCATTCCTCTTTGCTCTGCCTTCGCTTTATGCATTCGCTCTCCGTTTTCTGCTTACCTACCGATCACTAAAGGATCACACCATTATAAACAGGGATCTGAACTATAGGACCGGGCTTGGTTTTTTCTCTTTAACGACGTTCGATCCTGATATTTAAAGTCTTAAACTTTTTTGCCAAGTATATTTTTAGTTTCTACATACATAGCTTAATTAAAATTCAAATCAAAAAATGGGGGTCAATATGCTTCTTTTAGCGCTACAATACATTTAATATGACCTTTCTGCACTGAAATTTGTGTTTTAATTAAAAATTACATCTTCGACGTTTTCCCTCCAATATTCTTATCCAATTAAAGCATGAAACAAAATGAACTCTAAGTCTGTTTAAAAAAAGACACTTAAAAATTGTGACTAAGAAAAAGTTTCAAATTGCTTCGCATAATCAATTATTTGACCTTTTTGCACTAATAAAATGTTATTTTTCCGGCATTAAAAATATAATAAGCAAGAAAATTATTTTAAAGTCTTAAACTTTTTCTGATTTTAAGCAAATAGGTCAAAGTTATCTTGAATATTTAGAAAAGAACATCAAAAGTGGGGGTATATGATGTACATTTTCAGATATTACCAAAAAAATTGTGAATTTTACGTTAAAATTGGCTCAATTTTTCCCGGATTTTCAGAATATATTTACTATATTTGTCACACTTTGCTGATAGAATTCATAAGAAATAATTTAATAGATATTTCAGAACCAGCATAACATATTTCACTGCAAAAAACAGCTTTGTGTGCAACCAGCATGGAAAAATAGGCATCCAAAATTAACAGTACTGTTATAGTTCAAATGGAAAAAACTGACCATTTTCGTCTAAAAAACCTTCCGCCACAAAATATAGTCCATAGCTTAATTCTACTTGAATGGAATTAAATCGCGGTTTTTTTCATTGAATATAGTTTGATTTGCATTGTAAAATTTAGTTTTATTGTTAGAACTAAAAATGATGCTGAATTTTATGAATAAAGGACCTGCGCGAAATGCGCTCAAAATATCAGGATCGAACGTCCTTAAAAAACTTGTCGATTTCCATTCCGATTAATGGCAATAGGCTTAATACAATTGGTATTTCCTAAACCTTTAATTCAGTGCATAGGTATAGGAAGAACCCTTTCTTTGATTTTCTGAGTTTGTTTGATCCAAATGCAATTATTTAATTGATATTTTTCTTTACTTCTCATTGTGCATAATGGTTTTGTTTGTCTCTATATATATTCTATTCTTTATATATAGGCTATATCCATGGATATAAAAAAAACATGTCATTAATGTGTGCAAATTATATACGCCGAACTGAAATCCAAGAGAGTACAGTTACTGATTTATATATGTAGTCAAAATCAATCAGATTAAACTCTAAGGAATATTTACCATTAAAATTCATCGTAGCTCAATGCTGCCAAGAATACCTGTATCGAGTAACACAGAGTTATTCTTGTCCTCGGAGAAAGTGTGTTTATACTTAGCTGCAGAACTGTAGCTCTCCGAAAAAATATATTGATAGACCGGAAAGCTACAGTGCCACCCATTGTAAGAATTGTAAATTTATGCGCACAAAAGTTGCGATTAGCCTAGTTCTGGATTATTTCTTTCAAATTCTTACGTCAATCGCGAAAAGTATAGATTTGTAAATTAAAATTTCCCTTCTCCTCTAAGAAGTTCTCTCGTAGTTGACATCTGCACGAACTGCGTTGGATCAAATTATCTTGCAAACCAAATTGGCAGTATAAATAGACGAAATTTTAGATTATCTCAATTTTATAGCCAAGAGTGCTATTAAAAATATTGATATGGAATATTTTGTTGTGGAAACAGTGAAAGATTGTGTAAGGAACACACGGTTAGTTATATTTTGATATGACAGTTTTTAAATAAAAATACATAGAGAAATAAACAAAAACAGCGCACTTTTTGTGCGCAATAAATATACAGCTTTTTCAGTGGGTGGCACTGTAGCTCTCCGGTTTGTCAATTTTTTTCGGTGAGCTACAGTTCTGCAGCTAGTTTATACTGAGGTTTGTTCCTCACACTTGCAAATTTGAGTGAAGTAGCTGTTTTTGTTCAATGCCAATGGACCAAATCCCAAAACGTAAACCTGTTAATTCAACTGGAAAATGTAAGTCAGATCCCTCATCCTACGGAAGTCTGGTAGTGTATATTCCGATATACGGTAGGTCGAATATTCATTCACCTACATGTAGAAAATAAAGGTCAAATCCAGCATCTTAAGCAGAAAATAAAATTTAAATCCCTCAATCCATCATCATTATTAGTTTGTGTTCAGGTAGTGCTTCATGTTCACTCATCTGGAAAATGTAGGTCAGATGCAGCATCCGAAGCAAGTCTGGTATTTTACATATCTAGATACATCATCTTTTCAAATTTTGTGCATTAATTAAACATCTTTTCGATAAGTTTTAACTCATTTTGAGGTGCCACCACTTGCAAGTAGAAGGCAACAAAAGAACTACTCGGCGCATAGGACCTTTGAGCAGTAAGGGATCTCTTTCAGTCAGCAGCTAAGGCGACACAGGACCTCCGTTCATACGGTTTCATCCGAATATGGGATTCGAACCCGCAACGTGAGGACCAGTTCCTAACCCTCTACAAACACTCTAGCAAACATTCTTACCACTTCGCTAAGTGGGGGATAGATTGGAACAAACACGGCCTTTAGCTAGCTACTTGAAAATCTATCTGCTACTAAAATGTATACTTGTCCACTCATCTGGAAAATGCAGGTCAGATCCACCATCTAAAGCAGGTCTGGTAGTGTTCTATCCCTACATAATGATGCAAGTTTGGTCCTGGACGGGCTTATAGTAACTTTGGAATTGACTTTCTGCAAAAACCTTAACTTGGTCCACTCATCTGGAAAATGTTATATAAAATCAGATCCAGCATCCGAAGCAAGTTTGGTAGTGTCGATCCCTGGATGCATTATCCATGACATTTTGGTCCAGGTAGGGCTAATACTAATTGGTAGTGATTTGTTCTAAAATTTGACCCTGTAACATCAACGCAGGACATCTAGACATTGAAAAATAAACAAAATGTCCAATTCCTATAAAACTTTGTGAAGCATTTTTATTAGATAGGCTATACAATGTCATGTACAAATGCATTTGAACTTACAAGTACTTCAACAAAGAAAATGAAATTTTTCACTTTACTATCAAATGATTCAAAGAAGACGTAATGAAAATGTATTCCTCGAATACTAGTAAAATTTTAACTTTTGAATTTGACTAAACAGAAAGTACAGGTAACTGACTAGAAATTAACAAAAAAATTACAAACCAATATTTCAAACTCATTACGTCGATAGTAACCGATAACTGACATAGTTAAGCTTATCAAACTTGGCATCTAATTAAAAATAAACTTAATTGCAACAAGTTAAATAAGTACAACATAACTAATGAAAATATACAGACGTTAAGCAGTCAGCAAAATTGAATCAATACAATACATAATTGTTAGCATGGCAAATATAAACTGACCTCTATAAACACCAGAAAGAGTTCATGTCCCATAAACAAGCATAAAGTGAGTGAATGCATAAGACGGAAAATGCATCTATAAAAAATAACATTTAATACTGATTAACAGATCAAATATAATGTCTTAATTATTTTATTCTCTTATTCAAATCAACATTAATTACGATTTGAAGGATTACATTGTTATGATAATATACATTTTGGGTGGATTGGTGGCAAAAATGCAATTTTCAACGTCCATAAGTCCAAATAAAAAGGCTCCGTGATAAATGTAAGTTTTGTTACAACGTATACTAATAATTTTAGAATAAAAATAATAAACAAATCCTTTATACCTGAGATGTCATCTTCTATATACCTAAAGAAAAACTTTCAAAAACATACAGCTCATACAGCTGTATCTGACTATACAAAAGTGAAAATATTATTACTTGTATGAGGAAATAAGAAAAAAAAAATAATCTGCATTTGACCAAAGACTTCTTAAATCATAAACCTGAGTTAAGAGTTTGCGCACTTATAATGAAACATCAGCAAAAACTGTACACTTTCCCCATTGCAAACATTTAAAAAATACCCTAAAATATTTTAAAAAGTGTTCAAAGCACATGTTTTAACTATACACAGAACAATATAACTGACAAAGGCAGATAAAACTCATTTTCCACTCATTTTCCACTCAGATGAAGCACTGTCCAAGTGGTAAGCTAAATTCTAAATACTATTATGCTCTGTTGAATTAAATTAGGTTTGAACAACACTGGTGTAATTAAACTGATATAATAGCTACCAGTTATATATTTCTATTTTGTCTTCAAAGTATGTAACTGTACGTATTTAACGAATTCACAATCTTGATTTAATGTCAAATGCTCCACATGTATATCTGCTCCTTCTTTCCAATCATCTTTCTGAGTTCCACAGTGGAAACATGTTGTTACCCCACCATAACCTAAAGAATTCAAACACAGTTTACAGGTACAGATGAAAATTCATACAGATATCTCTAAATACTAAACTGTCTCTTCAAATGGTATGAGTTCATTCAACCATCACTGTGAAATTTCTAATTTTCGTTGGGGGTTCAATTTTCGTTGTTTTCGAGGTATAAAGGGACCCATGAATTCATGTCCACGACGTAATGTAAATTTTTATATGCACAATTATAAAAAAAAAATCTTCATCCACGAAATCATATCCCCATGAACAAACACTTTTTCCTTCAACCACGAAAATACGACCCCACGAAAAATGTCATTTTATAGTATTTTAAAAAGAGAATACTTGTCTGTTAGGTTGCAAATTCACAGTATACATGTATGCGAAAATAAGGCACTAGATTTCTTACCTTCGTAATAAAATCCATCTTTTGCAAAGTCCAAGGCTCTGTCTTTTATGCTGCTAATTTTGCAGTCTCCAAAAGATTTTTCGCGAGTTTCGATATTTTTATAAGCAGGATATCTATTTGGTGTCAAATCAAATTCTGAAAAAAGTTCTTGTATGATGAGGATTAAGATCATCAGGATATTTGTACATGCAAATAACAATTACATCTAAAAAATATCAACATATCAAGTTATAAACTGAAGGTTTTTTTCCAAATTTAAACAATATTTACAATAAAAAACCCTCCCCTTCTAAATCCGTGCATGCTTTGTTAATATGATTTTAGAAAATGTTTTACTTATGTACATGTATATGTATCCAAATAATAAGTAAATTCTAACATATCTAAACGGTACATAATCTTACAAAATCATATTTGATTAAATATTTCAAGAAAACAAACAGTGATCAATCTCAGAATCTGAAAAACAATACGAATCGTTAACAGGACAAAACATGGATCTCTAGAATCACAAGTGCTTAGGAGGAATAAGTATCTCCCGTTTACCAGATAGATAAGTTGGGAGCTCTCAGTATTAATTAGATAAAATAAAGTAATCAGTAGTCCAATTACTGGTTTAATCAATGGCCTAAACTCTGTCTAAAATATGTTAGTCAAAATATGACCCAATGAAAAGTATAGTAATTTTATAAACAAGGTCATTAAATCGACAAACGAGATCATTGAAAGCCTTGTAACATTTATTTTATCATCAAGGACCTGTCTGTTATTTTAATTTGAATATGATTAGACTCAGAATATGATCTCCTTTATAATTACCAAATCAGTTGTAGAACACAAAAACACCACATGCATTAGCAAAATACGTTATTGCATTAAGGATTCTCTTCACATTTTGAATGTATGACAGTATTTGATGGCATTAAAACATGTTTTAATATAATGCATATGAAGGAAATGTTAAATTAATTATAAATACTGTAAACTGTCTTGGAATCTATAATGGACACAGCAAAACAGTGCAAAAAAAAAAAAAAAAAAAAAAAAAAACTGGTTATGTAGACTGAAAGAGTTTGAATGTTTTTTAAACTCTTGAAGATATAGAAATTAAACTATTTTCAGAAAGTGTCAGACCCTATAATTTCCCTAATTATTTCTAAACTTTTATATATGTGGCGACTATACTTGAAAATCCGTATCAAGATATATAAAGAACTTCAAGGTAAATAAAGTAATTTTCTCTTTTCTTTGGAGAAAAAAGAAAGAATAAAGCGCAAAACTCTTATCAGGAAAATTTCAGAAGGGCGGATAGGTATAACCGAATTTGAAACCGAAGTCAAAGGTTTAAAGACATCATGGGTTACAAAACTTGTTTAAAAAACAAGGATTCAAATAAATTGTTCAGCGCTTGTTTAGGGATATGTAGATTTCCCTTATTTGTTGAATATAAATATCACTAAAATACAAGAATTCAAAATCAAATGTTTCCCACTGCTTTGTAAAGAAATTATATTTGCATTCAATGAATGTAAACATATTTATTAGAAAAAAAAAAAACAGCTACAGAATGTATAGTCTCACAAAAACATAATGTATAAAGAAAAACCGCTGTTTCTTTCAAACTGGATCAAAAGTGGTTATGAATATGTTAATGATCTCTCTAATGAATATTGGTTTAAGAAATAAATGAATTGAAGAAAATTTAAAATGTTCCCAAAACTACCTTTTAAAGTACGTGATTTTAAAAAAGTGCATTTTAGAAAAATATCCCGAAAATAAAACGACAATGTACAGAAAATAAATGTAACCCATAGCTTTGCTACAAGTTTCAAGGTTTTTTTTAACAAGTTGAGGGCCAAAACTTAAAATTCTTCTACAATATTTTGGTAACCAAAGCATAAAATCTATAATGGAAAGATATTGGGCTCAGATATTTAGCATTGATGATTTCCACTTTACAACGAAAAAGTCAGAGAAATATTTGATAAAAAATATGGCAGACTTTAAATTTCAAATTAATGCATAAATTATGGGCTTGAAATAAGTATGTTAGTACATTGTAACTGAAAAAATACAGTGTTGTTGGTTTTTTAGTGCTTTTTATATCCTTTTTCGCCAACTGTATCTTCACAGATCCTCCCGTATATCCATTATTTCTTTATCTATATTTTCTGTTCTTATAATTTTTTTTTTGGTCATGTCTTTCATCATTTGACGTTTTTTACTATTTATTTTGTTTCCAACCTTTGCAAATAAGTTCTTTCCACTTTTCCCTTTCGATTTTTACTCACGTACCGTTTGTTTTTAATATTTTTGAATTCGTGCACGAGTTATCTACGAAATCCTTTAGAATACAGAACAATCGTTCGTTGTATCTTTCGACTTCATACGACTTATAACTTATAATAGTCTTATCATTTTGGCAATTCTAATTTCCTTTCAAATATGTCTATTAAAGATAACCCAACATTTAAACTTCTAAAGAAAGAACATCAAAAATCAATAAAAACTGAACACCGGGTCTCCAATTTACAGACCTACTTAGAGTGTGACATTATTCCGAAAGGCTTTCAGATAAATGTTACACCTAACATAGGGCCAATCTCCAAACGCTTTCAGGAATGCTGGGGCGTTATCACAAGGAGATGTTCTAAACAATTGATGTCACTCTGTCTTTCTTGGGATATCCACAAGTTAGGACAATTGAAGAGTGAGATCAAGTCCTTAGAATCATCCCTCAACGATATCATGTCCCAGGCCGATCTTGATGAAGCCCATAATATTATAGACACCTATAATATGGCCCTGACAAATAAAGTCAACAAGACTCAAAAAAAGAAATTTCTCCGCGACAGTGTTCCACAGTCTAGGAACAACTGGTCAGAGGTCAGAGTTAACAAAACACGCAAACCCCGCTCGAGACGCTTCAAACGCATTAAGACAATCGCGAGGGACGGACCCATACAAACTCCTGACGTCTGCCCAGTGCTCAATACATCTAGTGCTCCTCTCTCCGAATCGGAGACCTCACTTCTTTCCAAGGGGCTAAATTTCTGCCCCACGCCACATGAGGTCGACGAAAAACAAGTCAGAGAGGACACCCGAGCATTCTTCCGGAGACTACGTTTGAAGGAGCACTTCTCTAGAAAAGACTCCGAAGTAAATTCATACGACTCTTCCAAGCCAGATTTACACGATCTAGAGGAACACAAACTCTATAAGCCCAAGAGTGACTGGGAACCTGCACCGGGCAAGTGTGGCGCGCTTGAGTCGTATATTGACGCCGTTGAGTCAGACATAGAGAAGCTCCTTTCAATGCCAGACAAGACTCCCGACAATTTGAGTAAGGAAGAGAGATCTGCCTTACAATCATTAAAAAATCGGGATGACATTGTAATCAAGAAAGCAGACAAAGGCTCTACAGTTGTAGTAATGGATAAAGAGACTTACATGGCGGAGGCCCAAAGACAACTCTCAGACGAACGTTTCTATAAGAAACTGGACTCTGACCCTACTAAAGAATTCTCCACCGCCATTACCAAAACTCTTGATGATATGTTTGAGAAAAATGAGATTGGTATCAACGTCTATGAGACCTTAAATCCTATTGACTGTAGACCAGGACAATTCTATCTGCTTCCTAAAATACACAAAGAAGGCATGCCAGGTCGCCCCATAGTCAGCGCAATTGGACACCCCACGGAGAAAATTTCTGAATTCATTGATTTACATCTCCGTCCACACGTAGAGAATTTGCCATCCTATCTCAAAGACACTACGGACTACATTAACAAGACGCCCTCTACTGGCCTCCCAAATCATACCCTCCTCGTGACTATGGACGTCACATCTTTGTACACCAATATTCCACACGATGAGGGTATCGAAGCCTGTAGAGAAGTCTGGGATAGTAGATCCATACAAATTCCTTCTACAGAGTCCCTTGCTAAGCTCCTTGAACATGTTCTCAAGTTCAACAACTTCATGTTTGATGGAGAACATTACCTGCAGGTTAATGGCACTGCTATGGGTACGAAAATGGCACCGTCTTATGCCAATGTCTTCATGGGCAGACTGGAACGCAACTTGTTACTTCAAGCACCATTTAGGCCCCATAGCTGGTTGCGTTTCATAGACGATATAGAGATGAAGTGGGTGGAATGTCGCGAGAGCCTCGAGGCATTCATTACGTTTGCCAACACCTTTCATCAATCGATCAAATTTACAGTAGACGTATCTAATTCGAAAAACGTATTTCTAGATACTACATCTACCCTGATTGATGGTGAAATCGAATTCAGTCTCCACACCAAACCCACAGACTCCCACCTATATCTTATGCCCTCTAGCTGTCATCCCCCACACACTTTTAAGGGAGTGCCTAAGGGTCTAGCCACCAGAATTCGACGCATCTGTTCGTCCCCTGACTTATATCAGGAGCAAAGTGGTCTTCTTAAGTCCCATTTATGCAAAAGAGGCTACAATGCCCGCACCGTACAAACAGCTATTGATGAGATGGCGGGACATGACAGGCAAAACCTATTACGCTACAAGGAGAAAGACAATAGCGGCAGGGTCCCTCTGGTAACCACATACCATCCCGTCCTTAAGAACCTTAGCGGTATCCTTCAAAAGAACCTATCAATTCTCCATTCAAACAAACGAATGGCAGAGGTCTTTAAGGAACCCCCATTGGCTGCATACAGACGCCCAAGGAACCTAAAGGACATGGTAGTAAGAACCAGACTGGACAACCCATTACCTAACGGGGGCTTCAAAACTTGCTCTGACAGAAGATGTCTTCTTTGTAAGCACAGCACTGACACAGACAGATTTAAGAGCCCTGTTACAGGCCGCAGCTACAAAATACTAGGGAATTTGTCCTGTCATACTGACAACTGCATTTATCTAATCAGTTGCAAAGTTTGCTCCAAACAGTATATTGGTGAAACAGGAGATCTCCGCAGGAGAGTCAATAACCACCGTTCGACCATTAGGACCAAAAAACTCAATGAACCCGTTGGGGAACATTTCAACCTTGAGGGTCACAAATGGGAGGACATGACAGTAGTGGTGATTGACCATAACCCAAGATGGACAGATGCTCAGAGAAAAAGCAAAGAAAAGTTCTGGATGCACAGATT